TTTGCGGGCTGGAGAGATGGCTCAGTGGTTAAGAGCACTGACTGCTCTTCCAGAGGTCCTGAGTTCAATTCCCAGCAACCACATGGTGGTCCAGAACCATCTGTAATGAGATCTGATGCCCTCTTCTGGTGTGTCTGAAGACAGCTACAGTGTAGTCACACACATGAAATAAATAAATAATAAATAAATAAATTAAAAAAAAAAAAAAAAGAAACTCTTTTGCTAGGCATAGTGGCTCCCATCTCTAATCCTAGTACTTGAAAAACCAGGGTAGGCAGATCTCTGTGAGTTTGAGACCATCCTGGTCTACACAGTGAGGTCCAAGACAGCTAGAGCTGAAGAGTGAAAACCTGTTTCAAAAAAAACAAAACAAGCCGGGCGGTGGTGGCATATGCCTTTAATCTCAGCACTTGGGAGGCAGAGGCAGGTGGATTTCTGAATTCGAGGCCAGCCTGGTCTACAGAGAAAAAAAAAGAAAGGAAAAAAAAGAAAAGAAAACAAAAAAAAAAAACAATCAAAAACCCTAATGACAACAGTCTCTCAAACACAAATAAAGCCATAACTATAGGACAGTTTAAAAATTTAGGCATTTGTATGCCACAATTCAACTATCTTTAGTTTTAAATTTCTATCTCTTCTACCACGAGTATAACATATAGTTTGGCACGCAAACAATGCCAGCCAGATATTATCATCAGTATATAAGACACAAGTCACAAGAGAGTAGTCAAAGGAATTAAAGGTGGAGAAATAGTCGGGCCTCATACACAGAACAACAGTCTGGAGGCTAAAATTGAGTTTACAGCAGAAGGTGTGTTTTATGTGCACACACTAGTGCTCTATAAATACCAGCAGAAAATAATAAACATCGTTTTGAAGCAGGATGGGGCCAAACTTTGATGGAAGATAAAGAGTGAAAAAGGCAGTTTAAAAAGAGGACTGACATCTCTACAGCTCTATGAATACACTAAGAATCACTGAATTGTATATTTTAAATGGGTAAGTTGTAAAGTATCTGAATTATATCTCAATAAAATTGGTACCAGAGATGAAGAGAATCAAAGCAGGGAGAGAAAGAGTGAGGAGCCAAGCAGTGACACGAAGGGAAGGGCACCGGCAAACAGAACCAAGAGTGAGGCTCCAAGTCCGGAGTTGACAGTCTCTCACAAAATATGATATAAAACCCAAACCTCTAAACAGCCCAGAAACAAAACTCACAAACCCTTAGTTTTCTTGGGCAAAAAACTACTTATTCACAGAAACTAGAGCATACAGACTCTTATTTAACATGACTGGTCATAATTTGAAGCAGAAATGTTAAAATGTCTGAAACGACATATTGCCCTCAACTCTGATAGGTCAAACAAACAAACAAACAAACAAACTTCTAAACATACCACATTACCATTCTAGAAGAAAAACCAAAAAAACAAAAAACAAACAAACTGTAATTCCCAAACACTGTGATGCCAAGGCTCTTGGGATAGAATTATAGAAAGATGGAAAAGTCAGAGCAAGATGAAAACACATCTTGGTACAAAGGTGATGATGGGACCCACAAGAGGAGATGATGGTAGAGGGATGATGGCGAAGCCCTAATGTCACATATCAGTCAATAAGCTTATACAAAAGAATTCTTATTAAGAAAAAGACCCAAGCACATTTAACAGTAGATAATTGATAAATTTTGAAAGGCAAAGCTCTTCAAAAACTTGTTCCTCTTAAAAAATAAATAGTCCCTGATCCCAACTAACAAAGAGGACAAGCAAAGTCAGGGAGAAACTAACCATGCAAAGATTAATCAAGAAACAAAAAAAGGATTCAATAAAAATGAGGCTCTTACTTTTCTAATTCTTCAGGATCAAACTTCCACCAAGTTTCCGGTTCATGAAACTCTACTCTGTATCCTTTTCCTATGGCCTACACAGGGGAGGGAGAAGACAAAACCCAGAGAACAATCTTAGGGAAAAGAAGGTATATAGATACAAGTTTCATCTGACAACAGGAAGGCTGCTCAACCAAGAAAAATGCTTCTTGGTAAATGTGGCTTAGAAAAATGTTAAGGCTATGTAACTGGACGAATTCCAAATCTATCTTCAAGTCCAGGAGTAACTAAGAAGATGAGCACATTCAATCATCATAAACACCAGTCTCTTTTTAAAAGAGACTAAAAAACCCAACAAGCCTATTTAGGAAGCAAGGGAAACTAATATACCTTAGTAATAAAAGTAAAATAACCCAACTTTTAGACTATGAAAATCTGTTAAGAATAAACAAAACTTTCAAGTCTATTATTTACCATTTCCACATATGGTTTCATTTCCCAGGCTTGTGTATTAGTGTTGTCTATTATAACTGGAGATCTCCCCTGATCGATAGCCTGTTTTGCTGAAATAAAAACATATAAATAAAATTTAAATATTTGGTAGAAAGAAACAATACATCTTTGCATTTAAAACAAAAACTGTAGCATCTCTTCAATTAGTGCCATGAAATACTAGACATGCCAGGTATATTCTTTGGATGTTGGTTTTAACAAACCACCCAACAAGCCACAAAAACCATCTTGGACCATTTTGTTCACTTAACAGCTAATCTCATTAACAGGAAATACAGGTGATAAAAGACACAAGAAGCAAAAATTTACTTACACAGAAATAAATTTTCAAATGAAAAGTGTAAAACAAAATTGAAAAGCAATAATAAGTATGATCTTTTATATATCAGAGCGGTAGGCATTTCTGTAAAATAAAAATGATGTGAGAGAGATGGCTCAGACAGAAAAGAGCTTGCCATGCAAGCCTAAAAACCAAAGCCCACTCCCTGGAATCTATATAAAAAGCAGGGCAATGGTGCACATCTGTAGTCTCAGAACTCTTACCGCAGGATGAAGGTGGAGACAGGAAAACAGACTTAAACCTTATAGTCCCACTAGCCTGACTACAGAGCACACCAACAGAGGCAGGAGGAACCCTACCTCAAAACAAGATGGAAAGAGAGGATCACTTCTGAAAAACGTGTTCTCTGATCTTCAGACAGACTGGGCAAATGTGTGGGCCCTCACACATACATACACAAACACACACACACAAATAAATAAATAAATAAATAAATAAATAAATAAGAACTTAAGTAATGCATTTGAAATGTTAGTGTAAAAGAAAAACATTATCCACAAGTAAAATTTCATCTATCAAGTAGCTCAACACCACAGTTGAACTGATTTTTATCAGTTAGAATCATGATTTTTATCATTTACAATCATGATTCTCAGATGTGTGACTGAAGAGATTACAGCTTTTATTCTAAACTATCACCTGTACCAATGCCATCTCTTGAGTATGAGGGAGAAGCACTGTCACAGTGATTTGTTAATGACTGCAGTGTATACAAACTCGGGGTTATCAGATAAAAAAAAATTAACTTCAGAAAATTTGTAAAAGTTGAATGCAAAGATGGAAATGTTCTTGATATACAGGACCCAGACCACTAAATTCAACATAATGTAACGAGGCAAGTCCAAGCTGCATTTCATGGACCACATGTGGCTCAGTATCGTCATTATTTGTAGCCCAATACAAAATTGTAAACTCATTTGAAGCACCATGAGGCTTACTTTTTGGGAAATTTTTTTTTTTTTGGTAACCAGACTGCTCAGTTCTCAAGAGTGAATGATATAGAGGACAGGGTTGTACTGCAATGTCAAAGGATTGGCTACATCGGTTTAGAGTGGGAGGAGGAAATGCACCAGTCTGAACTACCCTGAGGGTAGTAACAGTGTTTTTAAAGGCCAAAGTACCTTTAAGAGGTAGGGCATGGCTGGAGGAAATGGGTCTCTAGAGGTGAGCTTCTGAGGTTTAATAGTCCAACTCCTACACTCTGTCCTGTACTTCCTGACTGTAGATACTGAGTGGTCAGATGCATAATGTTCCTGTTAAGACTTCCCTGCCATGTATTCCTTCTTAAACTGTGGGCCAAAATAAATCCTTCTTCCTTAAGTTGCTAAGGCTCTAGCGAGCAGCCTTAGTTTACCAGAGACCCCGAGTGAACCATGCGGAGACTCTACAAAATACAAGAGATCTCTACAAAATACAAGAGGAATATTTAATGTTCCAGCATTCTGGGGCCACCTTGCACCCCAAAAGGAGAGGCGGCTCCATGCTGCTAGGTCAGTGAGCTTTTGTACAGTCCTTAGTGAGCAGCCATTAGGCACAATGTGATTGGCAGAACAGTGTGACTCTTTCAACTGATTGGTTTCTAAGGAATGAGGCAGCAAGGACCTCCCTTGTCTGTAGGTGTCTACGCGCTCTGGACCTTCCCCACCCGCAGGTGGTTCCCTTCCAGGTGGACTGAGGAATGTTAATCAGCCTCTCCCTTCCTCCTCTGACTGTTAATCGAGCAAGTGTCCCCAGACCAAGATGTTAATTAGCCTCTCCCATGGGGGGCAAGGACACAAGTATTCCAAAGTTCCTCTTCACTTGCGGTATATTAGGTCAGCAAAAAGGAAGTACCTAATACAGATGTTTAGGGCAGACATATTCTAAGACTAGTTTAAAGCTTTACTTGCTGAGCCATCTTGTCAACTTAAATGTAGGTTTAAACGTAACTTATACTATGTATGTGTTTTAGATAGTTCTAGATCTAATACACAATATAATCATTTAGAAAATTAAAAACAAACAACTTAGAGCAAGGCAGATGGCTCAGATGTTAGGAGCACTGGCTGCCCCTCCAGAGGATGCAGGTTCAAGTCCTCGCACTCACAACTCTCTATTGTAGTATACCTGTTGATTCAAAGCTTTCTGTAACTCCAGTACCAGGAATCTATATCCAGAAAAAATACCTATATACATAACATTTTTAAAATGAAAACATTTTTAAAGGTCTACAGCTGCTGGGCAGTGAGTGGTGCTGCACACCTTTGATCCCAGCGCTCAGTAGGCAGAGGCAGATGGATCTCTGAGTTCTAGGGCAGCCAGTGCTACACAGAAACAAAAACAAAACAAAAAATTTTAATTTAAAAAATTTAAAGATCCACAGCTTTTAGGTCTCATTCTAAATCAAACTAAAGCAGAATCTCTAGGTCTGAGCCCCAAGGAATCTGTAATTTTTTTAAAGGGGGGAGGGATCCCTCACCTGATACAAATGGACTGTCAGGATTGAGACCATACTCATGGTGTAAAGAAACTGACCCATGTCTTCTAAAATGAAGTATTAGACAGGGTTCTTTTCATATCAATTTGTATAGTAAAACTAAAATAGGTACTTTTATTAAGATTTAAGAGATTAGTATTATTCAGGATAGAAATAACTTTCATACTACAACACAAAGGTATCAAGAGTTCTTTGAATTATTCATAAGGTGTAAAAAGAAGAAAACCTACTGAAATATTCCCACCTCTATTTTATCAGTTTATACTGGGAAACTACTTATAGCTCATCCCATTTTATCTAAATTCACCGATTCTTACAATCTTGACCAGAGAGGACAAATAATTATTATCATGTCTTACAGAAGAAGAAATTAGGACTCCAATCTATTAACAGTTTGTCAAAGTCATTCAGCTGGTAAACATCTAAGTCAAAGATAAATCCTAGGTATGACTCGTAGTTAAATACTCCATCCCAGGAGCCTTGCCCCAAAACAAACCTCTGTTCTGGTTCCAGTCATGGGCATCACCAAGTTGATTAACATTGTACCTGTACCCATCTTGATGATGAAAATAGTCATCAGTGCTGAAGACGATGCCATCACGACTCTGACCAAGCAGAATTCTGTTAACAAAAGAAATCATAAGGTCTATAACCAGACAAAGGAACCACAGGACAAACAAATCAGCACTGGAACCTTGGCACTGACTCCTTAAGGCACTGTAGCAGAACAGCAGAGGAACTGTTCAGATTTTACACATCACTTCATACTTCACTCTATCAAACTACAGATATGAAAACTGTAAACCAGCACTTGTATTGCGACTTTAGAACACCATGTATTGTTTTCCAAATAACACCAACTAACAACTATGCCTGCTTTAGCTCTCTGTGAATTGGTATTAAGAACCTACAAATGTTTTGCTCTGGTATATGTGACCTAAAATCCAAGTAAGATTAAGGAAGCCATCCATCTAGGAAAAACGTATTTGACCCAAGACAGCTTTCAAACTCATTTCTACTAAGCCCAAACAAACACGACTCATGTGAGAGTAATAAAGAGCCCAAGACATAAGACTGAAAACAACCTATGATTCTCTAAAGTATAAAAGACTAAACTTTAGAGATTGTTACATGAAATTAATCACTGAATACTAAATAAAATTTTCTCAGATCATATCAGTAACAAGTAAACTGTGCTTTGAAAATAAAAACAAAAAATGGTAGCATCTTATAGTAATAATTAGTGTAGGGAAATGTGGAAAGACATATAATGGAATTTGAAAAGAATCCAGAATTCTGCCGGGCAGTGGTGGCGCACACCTTTAATCCCAACACTTGGGAGGCAGAGGCAGGAGGATTTCTGAGTTGGAGGCCAGCCTGGCCTTCAGAATGAGTTCCAGGACAGCCAAGGCTACACAGAGAAACCCTGTCTTGAAAAGCAAAAAAAAAAAAAAAAAAAAAAATCCAGAATTCCAAACCATCAGTTCCAATCTGAAGTTCCTAGTTATTCAAGCACAGTATTATTCCACAAACAGCAAAAGAAAGTCAAATCCACTATACTTACTTTTGCCTGTACAAGTAATTTACACTACGTAAACTCAAAGGAAAGAGACTTACTCTTGAAATTATAATTGTTCCTTGGTATCAGAGAGGGAGACCCTTCAGATACCAAAATCTGCTGATGCTTAGGCCTTGTGTACACAATTGTGTGATATCTGCATACCAACTGTTCACATCTTCCATATACTTTAAATCATTTTTGGATTACTTAGAGTATCTAAAACATTGTAAATAGCCATATACACTGTACTGCTTAAGGAAGAATGATAAGAAAGAAACCTAAAGCAACAAGAATCCTGAATATCAAGAGGATCTCCACAATCAGTGAGATTGGGAGTGTCCTGAGAAAGGCAAAACACAGAAAGATAAGGATTCGGATCCAACAAAAAGTGTAATTTTGCAGTTTCACTATTCCCTCTCAACTGCTAAGCAAATACCCAGGAAATGTGATATCGTGAAGGAGCTGGAAGGAGTAGACAGTGGAAGAAGTAGCTTAAGTGTCAAACAAGCTAGTCTTGGGATGAGTCAAGAGTTCTTCCTGTTCTTCCTACCATAAGGTAGTAGGGAGGATGTCAACTATTAACATGACAAATGTCACTGCTCCTCTCCACAGCTTATAAAAATAAATGTATCAAAATAGGCAAACTTATATTTCTAGTTACAGGGTTAGAGTATATTACATTATTTTATAGCAAATTACATTAATCAAACTAAATGGAAGTGAAGGTTTGGGTTGTCTGTGTACTTTGGAAGAAATGGAGTTGGATTTTTTTTTTTTAACAGAGAAGACTATCTAAGAAAGGAAGAAAACAAGTTGGAGTAGGGACAGGAGGTGAACAATTAGATATAAAATGCTACAGTGGCATTGGTTAGTTTGTTTAATAGCCTAGTTTCAAAAAAACCATAGAAGCTTTTTAAGTATTTTAAGTATTTTGTGAATGGAAAAAAAAGAAAAAGATTGGGGCTAGAGAGACAGCTCAGTGGTCAAGAGCACTGACTCCTCTTTCAGAAGTTTCTGGTTCGACTCCTAGCACTCATATGTCAGCTGACAACCATGTATAACTCCAGTTTCAGGGGGATCTGACCTCTAAGGACACCAGGCACATGCAGGCAAAACACTTAACGTATAAAAATTTTAAAAATCTAAAAAAATATTTTAAAAATTAAAATGTCTTTTAAACCAGAGCTCAATCACTTGAAAATGTATTTTGATTATAACTAACCACATAACTAATTATATTCAACAGTACCAAAATCTAGATTGTCATTCCAAGATTCATGTTTTTATTTGGTTCTATAACCTATTAACACATGATTTTTAAGATGCTAATACCATTGTGCTCAAGAAATGGTTTAAATCTGTGAGCGAAATCTCCACCATGAGTCTCCTCAATAAGCGCAAGAGTGAGATGACCCCAGAGGAGTTACAGAAGCGGGAGGAGGAGAAATTTGACACAGGTTCCCTTTCAGAGCTCATGAAGTCAGTTAAGAACAACACCCAAGTGCTCATTAACTATCACAACAAGAAGCTCCCAGGCCAGGTAAAGGCCTTTAACAGGCACTGCAATAAGGTGCTGAAAAATGTGAAGGAGATGTCAACTGAGATCCTCCAGAGCGGCAAGGGAAAAAAGCCTGTCAACAAGGACCGCTACATCTCCAAGATGTTCCTGCACAGAGATTCAGTCGCCATGGTGTTGTGCCGGCATACAGTGGAGGCCTCGACCCTCTGAGAGCCTGCTCCTGTCCTGTCGAGTCCTGTAGAACCCTGCCCAATGGGACGGAAATAAAACCCCATGGTTTTTGTTTGTTTTTTTATGTTTTAAAAAAAGGGAAATGGCTTAAGTTCTCCAAGTTAAAAAAATAGGAAAACAATAGTCCATTTTCATTATCTAACTAGTATAACAAAAACATGAACAAGTCTCCATGAAGACCTTCTTAAACACATAAACAATGAGCAAAAGTTGAGCCTGACGAGACATTTTCTTCCCAGACAGCATGAAGTCCACATGGATCTTTTTCAATTAGTACTCATGAACCTAGGGAGATGGGATATCATACTAAGCATATGAACCAAAAATAATAACACCAATATTTTCAAAATTCTTTTACTCAGAATTATCTCTAGTCAAGTATTCTAAATGGATTCTCAGAATGTCAATATTGTAGACTAATTAAACGCTATCCTGCCAGAGGTCCTGAGTTCAATTCCCAGCAACTACATGGCGGCTCCCAACCATCTGTAATGGGATCTGATGCCCTCTTCTGGTGTGTTTGAAGACAGTGACAGTGTGTATACTCACATACGTAAAATACATACATAAATCTTTAAAAAAAAAAAACACTATCAGTGGCCATCTGAGTCACACTTTGTCAAGCGTTTTATGTCTCACATATATCTATCAATATCATTTAATTTTCAAAACACTGATAGTCTGGTATTAAGTCCAGCACAGAAACTAATTATAAAAGTTCCACCATCAGAGTTTAATATGTAGCAGCAGGTAAAGTTCTCTGACTCCCAAACCAATGGCCTACAATGATCCTGTACAATTTCCTCCCCTGAAGGCTTCTAAATGGATTTGGAAACTAACTTTGGATCACTAAGTTCTAGGCCAGCCAAGAGGCCCACATAGTAAGTTCTAGAGTTCTAGGCCAGCCAAGAGGCCCACATAGTAAGTTCTAGAGTTCTAGGCCAGACAAGAGGCCCACATAGTAAGTTCTAGAGTTCTAGGCCAGCCAAGAGGCCCACATAGTAAGTTCTAGAGTTCTAGGCCAGACAAGGCTACTATCTCAAACAACCAAAACAATCAAGCCAATGGTTCTTAACCTTAGAATCCCCAACCATAAAATTATTTTGTTACTACTTCATAACTGTAATTTTGCTACTGTTATAAATCATAATATCTGATATGTGACCCTGTGGTAGTTGCACCCCATAGGCTGAGAACCACTGACACTGAACCTGGCACAGCAGAGACCCTAGTACAGGAGTACTTTACCCAGGTGCTTAAGGATATCTACTTAACACTTCTCAGATAAGAATAAAGAACTATAAGACCAGAGACAAGTATTTCCTATTGAGTTCAACAAAGATCATTCTTTCCCAAAGGAAGGGGGTGGGGGGGAATAGAAATATTTAACCTCAAGACCCTTTTTCCTTGGAAAGTAACATGAACAGCATTTACCATGGTAATAGGTTTAAATTAAATGTCAACATTAAAAGTTGTTTTCTACAGTTCTTTCATCTTTTTATATCCTGGATTGTAAATTATCAGGTATTTTTAGCAACTCTTTACTCTTTAGCAACATTTATTTTGTAGTTTTTTGGGGGGAGGGGTGGAGGTGGCACATAGCATGTGGGCTCCAGGGATCAAATCCTGGTCATCAGGTTGACAACAGATACCTTTACCCCACTGAGCCATCTTGCTAGCCCAGATTACTATCCTTTATCTTAGATAAAGAAGTTTGAATGTCATAAGACAGAAGGTACAATTTTAAATATTTTTTATAAATCTGTTAAATATATCATACTACCATTACTGAACATTTTTCCAACTGCCCTAAAATACCAGTAACTAACAGCATTTACATTGTACTGGGCATTTTAAGGAATCCATAGATTATTTAAGTATACATGTAGGAATATATGTATAAGGCATGTATAAATATGATGCTCTTTTAAGGGACTTAAGTTTATCAAAAGAGATTAATACCTGTACAGGAGCCTGCAACCAAATACCAAGGGACAACTGTATAGTCTCTTGCCTCAGAACCCTTAACAAAAGCTAGATATAGCAGTACTAGCAGGAAATTCACAAGTTTTAGTACACCTTGTACTATACACTGAGACCTTGAATGAATGAGTGAATGAATGAATGAATGAATGAAGTCATAAGCAAAAATGTCTTGGGCACTTAGCATGTTGGGGACAGTATGGTTTTAGGCAAGTTTTGGAGTTACCTCTAGAAGTGCAAATTTCTAGTTCTAGTATTTACAAGGGATACGCTATGAGATAAATTTACTAACTATTATAGTTAAATTATATTATACTATAGAATAGTATAGTTAAATTATATTATATAACCATTGTGGATCCTGATTTCTGTAATTATCATTTACCTCCCCTGAGGGTCTAAACAAATTACAGCTGTTGCTGCCAAGCTTGGTTTTCTGCTTACAATACTGAACAGATTTAAAATATAAAATATATTACATTATATTCAACATAGTTGTTATAGTTTACCTTAAACTAGTTTAGCACAGGTGAGACCATTTGGATAATTAAGCTGTATCCTAGGCAGTTGCATATTCAGAGAAATCATATCCCTTTCTAGCTAAGCCTGGACTATTCTCCAAATGTACAAGCTATTACAAGTGTCTCAACAATCTGTTATCTTTGATAAATACCATATATTTTGCTGATAAAATTGACAACTTGTTTCTGAAAATACACCCACAAGTGAAAATCAGAGTAAAAGAAATTAGATAAAGTATTTTAAACAATCCCTTTTCCCTTGCATGATTTAACAACAACAACAACTTTGGATCTATATTCTACCTTCCTAGAAATAACACCCAAGGCTTGGTCTTTAAATGGCTCTAAGTCCAAATACTGCGTCAGAGCACTCTGTTTACCTAAGGATAACTATAATAGTAACAAAAGTCTATTTAAATATCCTTGAATCCCGTGCCTAAAATGAGCCTGTCAAAGTGCTGTTAGATAGCCTGGAAGGGCAACCTCCAGTTTACCATATCTACGAAGGTTGTAAGAAATGTGTTTCTCTCTTGCTTAGTCCTAAGTATTGAAAGTCAGCATCTGTGTTAGAAGTCAGTCTAATACTTTCATTAAGAGCTAGTAGCAAGCCTAGTGTAGTGGATTATGCCTGTAATCCCAGTCAGTAGTGAGGTTCCTAAGTTTGAGGCCAACCTCTACTACACTACATGGCACATTTCAAGCCAGCCTGAGATTTCTTGGAAGACCCTATCTCAAAACACCAAGGGCTAGGGATAAAGCTCGGTGGTAGAATGCTTGCAGATCTTGCACAGCTTGCACAAGGCTCAGGTTCTATCCCTAAGTATTCCCCCCTCAAGATCAAGTAATAGTAGTAATCAGTAATAATAACAATAATTTATCCCCAAGCATCTCCCAAAATCAAGCAATAATAGTTTTAACAAGCAGGTAGCAGAGTTCCAGAAACAAGCAACCCTTGCCTTCTTATAACCAAAGTGGCTTAGATTAATCATCAATGAATGAAAAGATAATACTGTCTTGTATAGCTGATATTGAACACAGAGTAGAAAAGTTTAGTAAAAGCTATATAAACTTAGAAATTACTAAGGACACAAGATAAATAAAACCCTCAAAAAGTTAGTGTTACGTCTGCAATGCCAACAGTTGGGAAGTTAGAGCACTATATGGCATGAGTTTCAGGACAGACCAAGCTACTTATTCAGTGTATTCCACGACATACTGGACTACAATATATAGTAAGTTGCAGACTACCTCAGGGTACCATACTGAGAAGAAACAAACAGGAGGCATTTAAAACGACCTGTAACTAAGCCACTGTATCAGCAGCAGAAGCAAACAGTGCTAAAGGTATGGAGATGGTGAAATAAGGACTAAACTAGGAATGGGACTCACTATCACACTGAAACTCATTCAATTTTCCAAATCAGCTGGGCTCTTACCTAATAACTCCTTATTCTTTCTTCTCTCCAGACTTTGTTTTTAAAGCCAACGCCTCTATGAAAGTATTTCTTGCCAGAAGAGGTTTTACATTCAGTGCCAAGCAATCCAAGGGTTAGTAATTTAAACATGAAGGGGTCAAGCCAGATGTGGTGGCACACACCTTTAATCTCAGCACTTGGGACGCAGAGACAGGCAGATCTCTGTGACTTTGAACCAGTTTAGTCTATATAGTGAGTTTGAGGACAGCCAGGGCTACACAGAGAGACCATATCTCGAAAAAATAAACCCAAACAAACAAACAAACAAACCCCCTCAAAAAATCAACAACGAATCTGTTTTAAGACAGTGTCTTAGTATGGTAGCCTTAGGTAGTCTGGAACTTACACCTAGCCCAGCATGTCCTGGAACCCACTCTTGAATAAGTAGCTCTGGCTGTCCAAACAGTATCAATCTAAAGAGGTACTATGTGTGTGTGTGTGCGTGCACGCATGATTGTGTGTTTTTGTGTGTGTGTATGAGAGAGAGAGAGAGAGAGAGAGAGAGAGAGAGAGAGAGAGAGAGAGAAACAGAGGTTAAAAAAAAATCTCTTTAACCAAGCTCCTTGAAGTGAGAACCACACATAGAAGTACAGATGTGGCTGGAGAGATGGCTCAGAGGTTAAGAGCACTGACTGCTCTTCCAGAGGTCCCGAGTTCAATTCCCAGCAACCACGTGGTGGCTCATGACCATCTATAATGGGATCTGATGCCCTCTTCTGGTGTATCTGAAGATAGCAACAGTGTACTCACATACGTAAAATAAATAAATAAATAAATAAATAAATAAATCTTAAAAAAAAAAAAGCTTGCCATGTCTCATGAGTCTAAACTGATACGGTATTGAGTTTAAAGAACAATAAAAGACTTGACAAGTTAAGTTTTGCCGGGCAGTGGTGGTGCACCCCTTTAATCCCAGCACTTGGGAGGCAGAGGCAGACGGATTTCTGAGTTCAAGGCCAGCCTGGTCTACAGAGTGAGTTCCAGGACAGC